CTTGATATTTTAGAGAGGAATAGACGATCCCTTGTTAAATTTTCTTGCTAATTTACATTTTTCTAATAGTGCTTCCTTACTATCTTTGCAAACAAGATCTTGACAAGCTTGGAGAAGAGAATTGAAAGGAGAGTCTTCATTGCTGTTGAGATCTAGGTTTGGAGGAGGAACATGAATGGAATATAGGTTTAGAGGAGGGAAGTGGAAAGGGCAAAAGAGAGATGTGTTACCTGTGAAGGGCTAGAGGCTAACGTGGCCAGCCATGTAAACAATACATGGTCAAAATTATTAATTTAATGGTCAACATAGTTAAATCCTAATATTAAGACAAAATTATATCAATTTAAAAAATGACGGGGTGAAATTACATCAAAAAATATTTTAGGATATGGAGTGCACTTAATTGAAAACATTAATGGCATTTTGTATCTTAACCCATATACGAATATGAAATGCCACATCTTCAAAAATCAAAACGCAATGTTGGTCGTGCTCGTGCAGGGGTTTATTTCTTCTTCCTCTCATTTTCCCTTGGGCTATGCTCCCACCAATATTATTCCATGATCGGATTGATGGAATAATTTGATACACGATCGAATAACGTCTAAAAAGTCAGATTAACCCGTCATTTATTTATAATAAAATTGATTCTATCGTTCGCAGGACAAATTAGTGAATTAATACTTTATTGTTTCACATTTTTCATTATAGTTTTGTAATTCCAATAAAAAGTATTCACCCTCCTATCTAATACCCGTGCATATTAAACGAGCTATTTAGTAATTTTGTCCCATTCGCACTCTTATTTACTTTTTTTGTCTTATTTATAAAGTAGAGAAGAAATAATTTTTTTTTCTATTTATAAATTACATTATTAATTTTTTATTGTAATTTTCCTTTTTTATCTTCTATTAAATATCAGTGAGAAAAAGTATGTTATTAAATTATTTATACTTAATAGAGGTAAGTTTAGAAATTTATTAAATTTCTAGACAATAGTTAATGTTATGAGTTTTAAGATTTTTTTTATTTTTGAAAAAATAATTTTCTTTGATTCCGGTAAAATATTTTGACAATAACTTATAAATAGAATAAGATTTGTATGATTTGGGTCCAAAGAGCAGCACAAATATACTTATTCAATGAGTGTCCCATATAATACAACAATAGGATCATTCATTTCATCAAACAAAATTATTAAAAATTTTGCCATGTAATAATCATAAAGCATCAAATATCACATTTTGATAGGGGATACTCAAGGGGATAGTGTACATGAGGAGTGATATGATTGTGATAGTTGTTTTGAATTTTTGGAGGAAAATATATATTAATAATTTATAAGTACTAATAAAATTCAAATAATTACAAATTTGTATTTGGGGCACTCATTAAATCAGTTAATTTAGGCCTCGCATCGAATTCAAACCTTTATTTATATTATATTGTAATTCATTCTAATATGATAATGTGATTTATAAGTTAAATCTTTATTGGGTGACCAATGTTTTGGTTAATTCATATTATTTTCATTTAAATAAACTATGAAAAGAAGGACAGTATTTCTTTCAGGCCCAGAACCCTATAGAGCAGGCCCAATTAACCCAGCCACTCATGGTCATGAGTTCGTGTGACTCCAAATCTTGTGACTCTCTTTCTTTTCTGCCACTGCCACACGGGATGACATCTCAATCAACCACAAAAAGAACACCAATAAATCTCTCTCCCAATTGCTGTATTAGAAACCATCATAAATCTAAACACATAAACAAGGCGAGACATTTCTAGAGACGCAACCAGACAAAATAACCCAGGAAACGAAATCTTCTGCACTATTTACACAATCCTAGTTTTCAGCGATTTCTTCATTCAATAATGTCATCTGCAGGCACATTTGTTGGATTTTTAAGATTCTTGAAGCGAGATTTGAAAGAAGAGGAAGAAGCCGGCAGGCCAGGAGGATCATGGAAATGAAACCCACTTAGCAGTGATGTTTAATTTGATGATGATATATCTCACATGCCAGATTACTGTCCACCTACCAAGAAACAAGTCATAATGCGACAGAGCATTATTAATCAACAGCCAGCACAGGTTTAATCTCGGAGAAGAACCATACATCACACGCTCATGTTTTTCAACCTGCTTGTCTGCCAACTTGCTTCAAGATAATTGGCGAACAGTATTTCTCTTGGTCCATGACAGAGAGCCGAGAAAACCCAACCAGATAAAAAGTGTTTGGAAGCTGGGGATAGATAGATAAACAAGGTCCTGACAAGTGCGAGACTTTGTGAGACAGTGGCATCTCAGGAGAAAGAATTGGGGTTAGTATAGTTTTCATTTTCAAAGGTGAAGTTGATTTGTTTGTTTGGATATTGGGAACCAGTAGGGTAGAGGGATATATGTGTAGCAGATTGTTGAGGTCAATTCCTATAAGCCAGCTGCCAAACAAGCATTTTGTTGAAACCAAAGGGACACAAAGGTAAAGGTGACATGCATTAGACAAAAGCCAAGTTCCTTGGAAACTTTTTCTATCCTTTTCCCCTCCAGATTCTCAAGTTTTGCTGTGCAATAAGTTTATAATCAAAACGAATCTTATCAGGCCCCCCCACCCACCCACTTTTTTCAATGTTTTGTACCTCATTACAGAATCATATGTACATGCCCACCTTTCTTTCACCAGAATTGGTGTATATGCGTGTGTGCTATATATATATATATGTAGATATATATATATCTGTTTCAACTCAGCATCAATGAAAGCAAGACTCCTAAGATGAATTAACTGTTTTAAATAATGATGGGGCAAGGAATATATATATGTACATATATATATATAATATTACGAATTTGTATATGAAATTAATACATAGGAGATCGAGGAGGGCAGGATAGTTGGAGGGATAAAGGCAGAGTAATGAGTGGTGCGTACTGGATTATCAAAGCTGGGTGAAGTGACCCAAAAAATAAAGAGGGGTGGTTTGAAACATACAAGTCGACAAAAAGAAACTAAAAATCAAAGTGTCATCGTCATACGTATCATCCTCGGCTGATTAAAGGGCAAGCATGTGTACATACATGTTGTGAAACTACACGATAAAGACAAATGCTCATCTTCTTCTAATATATAACTTCCTAATTAAACCCTCTAACAACAACACAATTCAATTTGCGAGTTATAAGGTTTGATTTTTTATATATCGACCCCCTAGATATATGGACTGTTCATTCTATCGTGTTATTTTCACGCTTTTCTAACCTTTGCACGAATTAAATATGTTTCAGATGATATAGAATAAATACAACACTCTTTCCACCTCAAGTCATTTTCAAATTACATTGTCCATCCTTCTCTTCAATAAAAAATGGACCGTCTCCTTCTCTAAAATCAAAACTATTAATTACCTTCTTATGGATTGCACTTATCATACATTTTTATCATTGATTAACATGTTTTCATATTGAGTATTTAATAATAATAAAACAAGTCTTATTTATTAAATAGAAAAAAACTCGTGTAATTTAATACAAGCGTCTGTCTAAAATAATATAGCACATGCATGATATATATATATATATATACATAAACTTAGTGGACCGCGGATATTACTCCATATTCGTCCCCAGGGTACTAATCATAAACATCCCAAGCATGCACGCTAAAGCTGACCCCTAAAGTTACCCACTTTGCGAGTTATATATATACAGACATATTATTTATATCCGTTGAATTAATTCGTTAATTCATCACACAGAATCTTAAAATGTTAAATATAATGCAACAATTTTGAACAATGTTTTCCAGATACGCCATAGATTCGGCGGATCCTATATGTAAATATTCCGAGACAAATTATATTGTTGCTATCATAAGTACTACATACATGCATACATCCATTATATTGATAATTAGAGGAAGAGAGGGTATATACAATTTAATATCAGATCAGGATTCATGTCTCTTTTATAACCCACCCCAATTCATTTGGATTTCGATTTTTCGCTTCCCTCCCTTTCCCTATGTATATATAGCTAGGCAGGAAAAAAGAAACTCAAATATAATTGTCCACATTTATATAAGTAGATAATATAATAAAATCTCCGTAGAACAGTCCCTTTTACTTCCTATGAGGGGACTACATCAATGCTTACCCATCTCCATCTTGGTCAGCTTTTTATATACCTTCTGCTTTGACATGATAGATTCAAATAGAAACTTCAAAATGTTTTGAAATGCATTAATTCTTGTGGAGCTAAACTGTTTTCATTATATTATAACACATGAATAGAACATTTTCTTTTTCTTCATTTTTTATAATAATTAATCTTGATGAAAGGCAGAGAGGGAGTTTGAAATATAGCGCGCGCGCGCGCGCGCGTAGAAGGATCCAAACAATGTAAAATCAAGTTAAGAGAAGAAAAGAAGGTATAGGAATTAGACAATAATAAAGGTTGTTCACTTGTTCTGATCTGAACAGTAATTAAGAATGCATGATGAGGGGTCAAAAGCATCCAAAAGGACGAAGACTATACATATCTATAGTTCCCAAACTATAAATTCAGTTGGTGGGGATCGGAGCAGCAGATAGAAGGAAAAGGAAGTGAAATATCGAAAGACACATAAGTAAAGATATTGCATGGAAACGCATGAACAACGGAAAATGCAGTTTCTAACACAGCCATATGTGTGACCCACAAAAGTTCCTAAAACTGATAGTATCGACAACTTGACAAAACTAGTTCAACATCCTCCATTTTTAGCTTCATTCCTCTCCATTCACTTCTGCTAAAAACCAAACCTTTATCATCTTCTAGTTCCTCATCATATCGTCATGCTTTCTCCAAATGTACTGCTTCCATTTAACATTATATATTCACCCTCCTTACCCTTCAACCATTATTTTTTGTCAATTTAAACTGTAACGTGGATATGCGTGTCCAGCAAATTAAAACTGGTAATCGAATTAGGGACCAGTTTTGGCGGATGGGAATGAAATTAATTTAGTTCACAAACAGCGTAATATATTATACTCTGATACCAGCGAAGCTGTCAGTAAGTACTTGATATTTAATTCAAACACTACTACTAACACACAACCAAGAGATTAGTCAAATCCCAGGTTTTTCCCCAGCAAGAAATGAGTTGAAGAAGAAGAATGAAACCCTATGATACTAGGCTTAATTCTCAAACTTTTTGAAACTGCTAACTGGGACTAAATTTTCGTGAGTTTCTGGTGAAGACACTGATGGAAGAATATAATTGAGGATATTATTCTAGGGCTTCTTACCCACAGTGTGCTTGTTGTTGTGCATCCAAACCTTAAGAACCTGACGCTTCACTCCAACTTCGTCACAGAATTGCTGGACCAGTTCCTCGTCTTGCTTCTGAATCCGCCATCCCAATCTCTCTGCAAGTCCCAGCATTTTATCCTTCTGTTCCTGCGTGAACTTGGTCCTGAACCTCTTCTTCGAAGATCCTCCTCCTCCACCGCTCGGGTTCGAAGCGTCGTCGTCTTGGTCATCTCTCGTGCTCTGCGTTCCACCCCCTCCCGATGTAGACGGCAACGCCAGGGTCGTTGGCCCTCCCCTGTGGTGCCCAGCCACGTGTAAGTACCCCGCCGGCGCTCGGTAATATGCTGCAGCGAACTGCGGCGGCTGGTGGTGTTGATGCGGGGTTAACAAAAATGGTTCGGTCTCTTTGCGGTGGAAATTACGGTGACAGTTACAGGCGGCGCACTTGAGAGCGTCGAGTGTGCCTTCGGCTCCGGCCGGCATGAACTCCCCACAGCCGTCTAGCGCGTGTCCGCCGAGACTCACCGCGTGGTTCTTCAAGCACTCTCTGTACCTTCCCTTGCTATTACTGTTATAATAGTTCCTTGCGGGTTGAGGCAACACCATAGCTTCTCCTGCACCCGCAGAGCTCGGCATTTTCACTCGCGGAGATATCCCCAGTGACTCCATGCCCATCTCTTCTTCTTGCTCTTCTTGATCCTCGAAATCCATTTCTCCCAAAAAAAAAAAATCCAACTTTTCCCCTCAAGACTCAAGAGTATCGGATAATTAAGGATAAGATGCAATCCGAAAAGAGAGAATGGATTGTGATTATGTGCAGAGAGAACCAAGAAGGGACTTGTATTCATATACTTTTTGCCCTTCCCTGATATCTATCTGAAGATCACCAAGACACCAACCTTTTTGTATGACAAATCTCACAACCAACCGGTGATATCCGGTTACGGGTTGCTTACACAGTAATTTTCATTTTCACTGATTGCAGCTTGATACGTGAAGGTGTAACTCTGCGTATGTATATTTAACCGAAGAGGTGAAAGCTTTCACATGATATGTACAGTAGGAATACAGTTGTACTGAGGTGAGGGTGTCGCAGGAGGTTGAGCTGGAGACGAATAAGAAAAGGGGGGAAAGAGAAGAGAGAAGAGAGAAGAGGAATCAGGAGGAAAGAGAGAAAGCCCACGCGCTGAAGCAAAACGCCAATGATGGACACTGAAACCCTGCGGGTCATTGACTCATTGTGTGTTAGTAGTGTCACGCATTCCCATACCTGAGACGAAGTGACGTGGGATGGGACTGGGGGTAAAGAGGTGGCGCGTACGGCGGCGCGTTGCTGGAGATTTCTTTCCACATCGGAGGGAACAGGTGGGGAAGGACGAGAATGCGCGGAGGCAGGACCCTGCTTGACTTGTGGCTGTCGTACCAGCCTAGTGCGTGGAGAATAGAGGTGTGGCTACAACAATTTTTTTTTTTTGGAACATTTTCACTAACTCAATCAAACCTTTTTTTCCAGAAATTAAACAGAACTAAATTTTTTATAATGCTTGGTTTGGTCTATTTAGTTTAAGTTTTTGAGTTTGACTTAATCTTGCTATGATTTTGTTTTGGGCAAAAAAATTGGGTCAAAATTTTAGCATATGCCCAAAATGTCGGGCAAATATTTGTACATTAGAGTTTCCATAAAAAAGAATAAACGCCAAAAAAGTTATTTATGAATAAAAACTGTTAACCAATTACTTTTTAGGTTCAAGAATGTAAGGTATTTTTAATTTTTTGAGGTGTTATCATTACTTTGTTTTAAAATACCCTTATTGATAAATAACTTTATATTTAATGTAAGATATTTAATAGGGATAAATATGAAAAGATAGGGTTAATTTAAAAGTAAATAATTATTTTATTAAAGAATGAGATTCAATTAAAAATATTTTTTTAAACGAAGGAAGTATGATATAGGATTAAAAAAATAGAAATACATTCCATTAGAGAAATGATCCTTGTGATTTTCCTTTATATATGATGGTACATGCATGCATCCATGTTGCAAACTTGTTGAGAAGAAAAGAAGGGGGGGAGTTTATTTAGGTAATTCTTCAACTAAAAATAGAATCAAACCAAAATAACCTAAAGAATAACCTAAATAAGCCCAAAATAATTAAAAATAAAATAAAATGGAATAGACTGAACATAATCTGAATTGGCTTGGTTTGGTTTGACAAAGAAGGAGAGTGAAATAGAATAGTGAGTCCAAGTGGAGGAAGATGAATTGTTATGGTGTTGGTGGTCAAAATTAAAGGACAGGGTAACATGGAGTGTCCCCATTGGCGTGAGGGTGTCGAGGAAGCCTTTAACACCGCTGGCTGTCGTTTGTTATGCTTGTCGTCCCTAATTAGCTTTGAATCAATTCACTTAATCACCCTTTCCAGGCTCCTACGATGCCAAGTACTACATCTTAATTAGACTGTGTGTTTTCATCCTAAACTATTTATTTTTGGTTATCAAATACTTTTGTCTCTCAACTTCTGAACTGTTTATTGAAGCAATGTTGCTCTTCAAAGTGTTAAAATCATTGCCAGTCTAAATATAACCTCAGTTTTGTTTGAAAAAAAAAGTTGCAAGTGCTTTTCCAATATTTAAACTCCACGGCAATGCATGGAAAAAACATGTAAGAAATAAAGAAGAAAGATTGCTGACACCCGATTATAAAAACATGTGCGAAGAAATATTAAATGAATAATAATAACATAACACGCATCTAAGAAAACATTTTGGAAGATGACTTATAAAAAAAAAAAAAACTGGAAACGAAGATCATCCACAACCTTATTGTTCTGTTCTTCCAAGCCAGGCATTTCCCCCCTTTTAAATACTAACTCAGAACTCTTTGTTCAAAAAAAGAAAGCAAAAACAAACTAACTCATATCTTGGCCTAATTATAAGAAATACTTTCTTTCTTTCAAAATATAACCAGTTTTTAGAACGAAAAAAAAATTTGTATCTCAATAAAGTCATTATTCCCATAAAAACATATATTATTTTTTTATATTTTACCTCTAGTCTCAATTACCAATACAATCCATGATGAAAGAGACATGATGAAAGAGAAATACATTTACACAAAAATTTAAGTTAATAAATACAAGAAAAAAATGATTTTTTATATATACTGAATTGTTTATATTTTAAACCAAAATTAATTAAAGTGAAATGCTTATATTTTGAACTAGAGAGATAGATTATAGTTAAATTTTAACCATCATTTATATATATTTTATGCTACAATATACTCCCTCTTTCCTTATATTTTTAATCAAATCATGTAAATCAATAAAGTTGATTATCTAATTAAAAGTACACAAACATTTTAATTTTTCTCTTAATTATTATAAATAAAAATAAATATTTTTTTCAAAGTAAATTAATGAGAATACTTATTTTTGTTCTTTTTAATTTAATAAGGATTTAAAGGTCCATTCATTAAAAAATATGTTAATAATTTTTTATATTTAAAGATAAAAAAATTTTTAAAATCTCTTATATATAGAGAGGTCCAGAGATATTAAATCTCAAAATTTTGATAACATTCCAAATAAATCCCTGTAGTGGAGAATTATTGCTCTTTTGTCATTAAATACGACAAGCATGTGACACTGATTGGGATATTCTATTTAATTAATCTCCCGTGACATTTAATTTTCGTAGACGTCTTTATTCTCTCCATCCTGCTCCATTTCTTGTTTTCAAAATTAAAGGCAACATTGACAACAAAGTCATCTTGTTACTATAGTTTATTTGCAGTTTTGACTACATTTACAACAGCATAGAGGGGGAAAAAACCGCTTTCTGCAATACAATCATACTCCTTCTATCTTTATATATAAAATATTTTTTATAAATTTATTTTGTCCCTAAATATAAGGAATAGCAATAATATTTTTAAATAATTAAATAATTTTACCCTTATTTTAGAAAATAAAATAGATCATTAATTATATATTTTCCCTATCAACATCATAATATTAATTATGATATTATTAGGGGTAAAACTAAAAAATTATTGTATTTTTATGTGAGTTTAACTAAATAACAAACCTTTATTAGTATGTGAGATTCGATTAAAAATACCTTATACATAAAGACAAAGGGAATAATTTTTTTTTTGTTATCTCTATTGGATTAATGAGCAAAATGGATCTTAAACTTTTACTTGAAAAGCATCTTGAACCCTAAACTCTTAAAATGTGTAAAATAGATCATAAACTTTTAAATTCATAACAAATTAAATCTCACTGTTATCTTTTTTTAACATCATTCCTGTTCATTGTAGGTTCCAGTTAAATGTCGATATGTTATTATTAATTAGTGCCACAGATCCTAAATTATTATGTGAGTAACATTCTAAACTTTAAACTTTAAAATTTTGAGCAAATTGAACGTTGACTATTATGTAGACGAAATTAGTCTCAACGTGCTTTTCCGCAATGAATGCATTGTTGGCCATTGCGAACGGATCTATAATTTTGTAAAATAACATTTTTTGCTCTTATTTATGCAATGTTTTTCAAATGATTGGTATCACATGCTTCCGTATACTCTATAACTCTTATTTAGTCTTATTTTAAATAATGTTTATTTATTTAATAATGAAAACTTGAGATTCCATTGAAAAAAAAGTTTAAATATTAAAGAATTTTAATTAATTAGTTAATCTGAGTTTTAAATTCATTGATAAAATCATTGACTTTCGCATTTATTGTCTGTAAAATCCTATGATATTTAAACATTTTTTCAAATGGGATCCCAAATTTTTACTATTAAATAAATAAACATTATTTAAAATAAAATTAAATCAGAGTATATTGAAACATGATATACCAATTGTTTGGAAAACATTGAAAAAAAGGGCACAAAATGTTATTTTACAAAATTATGAGTCATTTGCTACAGCCAACGATGCATTTCACTATGGTGAACTACACTGAGACTAATTTAATCTATATAATAGTTAACGTTCTATACATAAATAGTGGAGTAATTTGCTCAAAACTATTCGCATAATAGTTTAGGGTCGTAGCGCTAATTAACAATGACACATTAGCATTTAAATGGGGCCCATAATAAATAGTAATGGTGAACAATAACGATGTTAAAAAAGAAAAATGATAGAATTTAATTTGCTGTGTATTTAAAAGTTCATGGTTTATTTTGCACATTTTAAGAGTTCAATATCCAAGGAGTCTTTCGAGCAAGAGTCAGGATCAATTTTGCTCATTACCCCATCTTCATTTATATTTTGCACGTAAATTTTCCCATCTTGGCATCCATTTTTTGTTTAATAACTCTCAACCGCCCCGAAACCAAGAGTACCCTCTTCTTTAATTAAATCAAATTGCACAAACCAACAGTCTCATTTTACGGTGCGACACACATCCCTTTTTTTTTTTTTTTTTAGATGTGCGCGTAGTTATGATCTTTTAACATTGTCATCATTTTCATATAAGTGCTGCTTTGATATCACATAGTAGGAAATTAAAAAGAGCAATGCTCAAGTTTTTTAGTCCTAGTATTATTAAACCTAACTTAGGCGAAACTTTCCCCATCAACGCAAACTCAACGATACTTCTGGACAACCTAACATTTCTTATATTCTTAGTTCCACTCCCTCTTAATTAACGTTAATTAAGATTACGTTCAGTGTAAAGCCAAGGACATAAAGGATCACTTACTAACTCTCAGACCAAATTCTGCTCATATCGTATTCTTGGACATACTCCAATGATACTTTAAAGTGAGTGATCGAGGGAGAGAGAGGGATGTTGATAACTTGATATCCAATCCCCTTTTCCTCTATTTTACAAAGAGAATCCGAATTAAAGGTTAGATAGACTCATAGACAGATATAATCTTAATTGTCGTGTGTACTTGGAGGCAAGGGATCGATAAACCCGAGAAAGTTTTTCGAACAAAGCCATATATACCCATAATTAAAAGTGAAGACATGAACGGAACAGAAGAATGAAATGAAAGCATGTGACTCCAGAAACCGGACGGAGGAAAGAAAAGTGATCTCCGTTGAGATTTCAGTGAAGTTCCGACAGAGGGAATTGCGGGGAAAAGGGCAGTGGATGGTGACAAGACGAGAATGGAGTGGCACCACTCTCATTTCCATTCCCACATAATATCTTTTCCTTTCTTTCTCAGGTGGCCCCCACATTCACCAGCTTGCTTCTCGCACCACCCTTTCTCTGATATATCGCACCTACTACTATATTCCACAAAAAACCACCATCTCCTTTGTTTGCTTTCGCTTGTTTCTTGTTCATCTTCTGATATATGCCTCAATTGTTTATGTATGTATCTCTCCTAGCTTCTGCAGAATCATCACATCAGATTCTACTGCTTTCTGCTTCTTTACGTACTACAGCACATGTCATGCGCATGCATAGGTGTTCCCTTCTCTCTCACTCAATCTTTTTCACTAATTTGGCCTTCGTTTCTGCATCTGGGATGCACGAAACAGAGAACCCTGCATAATTAACGACAGTGAGACGAGGCGATTGGTCTGATGATTTATAATATATTATAATCTAAGATCCACTAACTGCTTTGGTTGACGCTAGGCCACAGGTCGATCGGGATCTATTCATCATTGCTTTCGTGTATCGCTTTTTTGCTCTTTCTCGTTGTGTAGGTCTTAAAAGTTCATAGCAAGGACTGGATGTGACAATTAATTTTTCTCAATTCTCATGACTCTGATCTTACGAAGGGACTGTGCAAAAAAAAAAAAGCCTCGGAAAACAACCTTTCGAGGATTAGGTCCAAGCATATATAGAGCGAAAGTGATGGTGGAAAAGACAATACCATACTATGTGAAAATAAGCGATGCAAATGTTGTTAGCACGTGGGATGTAAGGCTCAAAAGGAAAGAAAAAAGAAATGGCTGGGGATATATATATATATATATATCTAATCTAGGTACTACCTACTATAGTGCTTACTTGACAAGGAAACTCGCTTCTCTGTTTCGTATGAATCTATGCTCAGTCGGATGTTTATTAACCACGATAATGATTTCTTGTACATGTTATAGAGTATTATTATACAATACATATACATTGATTGTTGTTTTGAATTAACTTGGCTCTCTTTCTCTCTCTTCTCTCTCTCTGGATCTTTATATGTAGAGAGCTACTTGTGGATGCTTGCAGAAAACAATTTGGTACTATATTTTAGGTGACAGTGTCAAATGATTTGATCCACTACGATCCACATTTGCATGTAAATGGAAGAGATATTTCTTAAGGTTAGTATTCACCAGTTCTTGCGTGAAATGTAAAAGCAAGGGTTACCCATCTCTCGTCGTCGTCAGGTCATTATCTTGGATTTATAAATTTTTGACACTCACACTCATCATGTCCCTATGACTATGGTTTAATTAGTACTATGTGATTAGATTCATGTTTAATATATGAGTGTGAAAGTGCCACGAGGGTGCACCAATAGAGAACGGTGGTGATAGTGAAACGCGGTGGTTGGTGAGAGAACAATTATGTATAGCTAGTGACTAGTTTGGGGGTTACACAACAAACAGTTATGTAGACTATAACTTTGATGTTTATTAATGAGTGCTGTGTTGGGAGATTTGGCACGGAAGGGAAGAGTACACAAACGTGTGCTTTAATAAAAGCCTATTAAAGTTGGCGTTTCTTTTCATGATAAGCCTCATGACCCTATAGTATTGGGGTGGCAATTCAAAATAATTATGTTCATCCTTGCTTATGAATAATTGGGCTATATGAACCCTAGTGGTCTTCACAAACAAGCGTTGATTATGTGCAAATTAAACGATTCCAACCGGCAATTTGAAAAAAAAAAATATAGGCATTATAATTTTGAATTATTAATTCAAGCTAAGCATGAGTGATAAAATTAAGTTCTTATCCTTTAAGCGAGTGGTTAATTAAAATATCGATTTCTTATTAAGCAAAAAAAAAAAAAGTCAAAGGAGTTTGTCTTCTGTCTCCTTCATCTAAAGAGAAAGTAGCTAGTCTCCATTAAATTAAATAAATTATATTTTTTATATCCTTTTCAATATATCTAACATTATGTGTTCACTAATGTATTTCTTTTCTCACGTTTAATGATCTCTAGATCAAGTAGGAATGATTAGTAGCAGTAAGCGCTTGGAAATGTTGAATTAAATACTCCTCTCAATTTTATTTATAAGTCACATTTTAAAATATTTATTTGATCATATTTATAAGTTATGGTGCAGTTTTTTAAGTAATATTTAAAAAATATTTTTAAAATTACCTTTCATGAAAGAAAAAATAATATGACATTACTTTATGAATTTATTATATTGAAGCATATTTAAAAATTTACATACTTTTATTCTTTATACTTTTTTAATATTGATATTAATGAAATTAATAGAAATGACTTATAAAGAAAATTGAAAGAGTATTCTTTGAGAAAAAAAAGAAAAGGATGTCTAGCTGATGTTTCTAAGTAAAGATAGGACATGCATAAAAAATAAATATACATGCAAGGGTTATAAATTAGAGATAGATTCAAAACTGCCGGCTCTAATTACTTAACTATAATATATTTTCAGGGCCCAGAAATGATTGCATCGTCAGACACGAAACTAGGGCTGTAGAAGAATATAGGGAATTTATGATGCCCTACAAAGTTAAGGACTTAAGGTTGGTGAAGAGCACCGACATGCCCATAATACGAAATTGGTTGGATCGACGATAAAGTAAAACCACATACTCATTCGACACACACACACATATATGAACAGAAGAAGGAACAGTGGAATTGCATACTTCTGGTGTCTGACTCAAACAACCATAATAATAACAATAACAACAACAGCAACAATCTGGTTTAAATGGTTTCCTACAATGCGTTGTGTTGTGCACGATAAAATTATAATCTTCATCACTGTTCCATATAGAGTCAGATAGTGGACGACGGAATACCTACTGTTGGTTCGTGGGCATGCTCTTACGACCCATCATTTCATCATCTAAATCGGAAAAACAAAGTAACAGGGGGAGAAATTTTGCTGTCTGATGCATATAAAGGGGTAAAAAGTACTGTATCACTGAATTGATAGATAGCTAAACTGTATAATTTAAACAGTTCCCTGGCGGATAAATCATGAGCATCCCTAACTATCATCATTACGGCTTTAGTTTCTGTTTAAAGAAGTTGTAAAGTGCAGATTAAGAAGTGACATTCCTGCGTGTAGTAAAATGAAAGATCATAAGTAGGCCGTCTGGGCTTGCTTCATATATATATATATATATATATTATATTACGTGCATGTTGGTTTTGTTACTAATTGTTGGATGAACATTCATAAATAGGCCTAAAGCTGTTAACACAACTTAATCTCACACGTACGTTAAACTCTGTCCTCCACCTCAGGCAATTGCAGATGGAGACTTGTCTGGGCCATGTCCCAAATATAATTGAGAAGGTCATGAAATTATAATTAGGTTGTATATGTTGTGCTACAGTGCCAAGGCATTAAATCTAGCCTAGGGTTTGATTTAATTTCCACATTTCGCTTTAAGGACGTGGGAAAACGACTTTACAAGTGTGGAATGATTGATTACTGACCCACTTATGTAGAAATTGTGGGTTTCTTTGACTTAATAATCACTGCCCTCTTGATTGCTTTCGAAGAATTAGAGATCCCTTTTGACATTTGTGAGACTAATAATACTCTCATAAACAGTCATTAGTAGTTCTAAATCAGTTCTAAGTGCACTTTTACCGTCCTTGGTTTACAGTAATAATTATTCTTACATCATTTTAGGAACTGTTGGCCCTTGAAAATGTACTATTCTCTACATTTGGCATGCACTAAGAAGAATCACATCCTATCGTGTAAAAATTATGTAGTATCTATCGTATTTAGTCATTATTTGACAGGACTCTTCAAAAAATATTTGGCAGCTTTTTTGTTAATTTTTATCAAGATACATGAAAGATATTTTGAGAGTATAATTTACCGTGTGACTCAATAAGTGGTCTTAGAATTTTTCTTTTTTTGGTACAGTATATGGACTTCCTTTAATAGATTTCTATCAGCTAAATTGCTAGACATTGAAAACCCAAATTACATGCATTTAGGCGAAGAATTTCCTGATGCTGCATAGAAGATAGACGGTTCTCCTTTGCGACCGAGTTATTTAGCGTGGACGAGAATTAATGCAAGAAAACGAAGTGAAAATAATTTGTTTTTCCCTGAACTGTAAATTCTAAGCACACCCTCGAATGTTGCACACATGAATATCCTACAGTTAATTCACACAAACAAATTTGCCAGAGTTTTGCAGGGAGCGGGATAATTTTATGTTCAACTGCTCCTAGACTTGAAACTCTTCTGTTACAAGAAGCGCACCCCACCCACACACTTATTACACGGAGTTGAAAGTGAGGCCTGGATGGACAGGTGTTTGCCACCGGTCAGATTGTGAGTCATTGGCTTGAAAAACTTCTTTCAGGTACTCCACAGCACCATCATAATTAAAGAAGCCCATGAACCAAAATTCCTGATTGTCGACAGAGACTAGCTGGATGTACTTTTCTGCTGGGTTGTATCTGTTTGATGAAGGAAACACTGCTTTAAGCTGATGTAATGGGATGACTACCTACAACCATTACATTACAAGTCAGCAAGTAATATATATCAAGCCAAAGAAAAACAACTATAAGATTGAAATATCGTTTTCGGACCCATCACATTGAAAAAGAAAAAGTAAACCTTGTAGGGTCATGATAGCATGCATAATTCTTAGTGCAGCAGGAGAAGAAAATCATACGAGATGCTGCTTTAAAAGCATCCATGATAGAAACGGATGAGAAAATGCTCATTCGAGGTCGAGACAAAGGGAAAATATGAATAAAAAGATTTCTTAATTAAAGAGATAACGAGAAATAAAGACAAGTTTTACTCTGACTATATTTTTGCAGATAAAGATTATACACGGAAGAATGGAAGTAATTCCGGTTGAAACAGAGCACCATTAGTACCGAAGAATAAAGTTAGAGCTAACACATCAGGAAGTGAGGTGACCAAGTTCTTTGAGGATGTAACAACTGATGAGAATTGCGAAAATGGAAACTCAGAAAGTTAGAGCCAGTGGTTTGAGTAAGATTAAAAGAACCAATTAACACGAGGCTTTATTATAAGAGAGATTACTGATCCTCAAGGAAGGGAGTCAATTTTGGCTATTTGAGGAAATGCCGTTGATCATTGAAACAGATATCAGAAAATGAGATGAAAAAACCTTCCTAACTGCAGAATAGATGAAGATTTTGCCTCTAAATGCACTGATATATGTTTTAACTCCAACCCTAGACCCGACATATTATATCTTACCACGATAGTTTGATCAAAGACAATAACAATTCCAAATATAGGGAAATTTAATTTCCGAACATAATGGAAGATGTATAATGGTGCTGCTAAAAGCTGGTAGATAGTCTGACCCTCTGACAGTCAAGAAGTACCAGAAAGATGTCTCAAGTCTAAGCAAATATAGCCTCCCCTTCAGATGCACATTACAATCTTATATGATTGGAATATCAATTTTATTAACACAATTTCTGCTCAGGCATTTTCCCCCTCTAGCTATAATAAAATTTCCGTCTTTTCTCCCAGTATCTATAATTGAACACTTAGACAGATTGAAACTGCCATTACCGTTCTAAGTAAACACAGACAGATGAGTTAGTCCAGCCTATCTTCCACTTGGATAAGCTTACATCCTCATGTTGGATTGTCTATGTACACACTACTCTCTAACTTCAAATTGCCTCCATCTATTTTTGTTCTATCCAGTTTTACTCTCAGTTGTTATAAACAAAAAAAAAGTTATCTGTGTCCCTACAAGGTTGGCTTGTACAACATCAAGGACATCTTTCTCTGGATAAGAAAATTCAATGAAACTGAACTTATTGGATAACTATATAACAATCAAAGGACATTTTCTTCCATGTCAACAAGAATTTCCTTGTTGGACACTGTCAAGACACTTCAACAAACCCAAGGTTCTAACATTACAATCACAAGAGCAACAAGAAGAAAATGAAGCAATTAGGGCCCTAAGAATTAGAACAATTACATATGCTGCTGACAGACAATTGACATGCACATGAGCACAGACTTCACCACTTATGAAGACGCCTGTCACTTACAAAAGCGATAATCAAGACAATAATACCAGTAATATTAAGAGGAAAGGACTCCCATACACGCTACGTCAAAATGAATTATAAAAAAATCTTGTATGTCACACTGAAATTTAGAAGGAAGAAGCGTAACTTGTTATCCTCCCACACACAATACAATAGAAAAACTTCAATGAACTTGAGATTTAAGAGAAAAGCTATTCCAACTGAAAACATAAAATTATGCCTACAAAGATCTCAAGAAGTATAAACTTTTTAACTCCAGCTTCAATGGCATGAAGCCATCCAGACTAGTGATAAATATACGTTAGTTAGTTAGATAGACTGGCATGTATCTAGGATATTACATGTGTACCTTGTAATGACTCCATTCTGTTTCTGCATCATCTTGATAGGAAAGAGGATTGTCACTACAATATGCAATCTTTTCAGAAGATACATATAAAACTCCCATTACTGGACCAACTGATGAGGACACATAACATGCATAAGCTTTCAGAATCCGTTCACCTGGAACTGTCTCAAAAGTTTGTCGAAAAATATTTTCGTGGCCACCTTCTGCTAGTATCTTTGTTCCACGGGCAATTCTTCCCACAGCAGCTTCAGTAAAACTTGGGTTTGTTCTAACTTAACACATGATTAAAAGAAGCCATTTCAGTAATTGTGATGTTGTAGATTCAAGACCATAGAAAATGAATAGCAGAAAATCCAGAAGCTGCATATAATGCAATGATAATGAGAAAGGAAATAAGGAAAAGATTGTTCCAAACAGAGCCACTGGTTGAGGTGATGAGATAGACCCTAAGGAAAAGGTGCAAGTGCTGACAGCAGGAAACAGCATCTTAGAACAAAAGCTTAATATTTGTCAAGAAAATTGTTCAGCTGGTCTTGAACCATTTGATCACATCATATGAGCAGAAAAAATAACACGTAAGAACAATGTCACCGCCTCACTGCATAAATTTAAACAGTCGAAACGATCTTTAAGGATTGAACACGTCTTAGGCATGAAACTTTCTTGAGCGAAGTGCATCAATTTCGACATAGCCATTTCTCAATGAAGAAAGGAATACCATTACAATTCCTTGAATATTATTACAAAAATAACAAGAAATAAATTGATGACAAAGGAAGACAAAAGCAAGAAAACTAACAGTGAATCCAAGTGTTTTCAGCCAGAGTCTCTGCTTTCTTAGTGGCTTCTCCCACCCTCCTCCCCCATGTTCCCAGCACATTCCGAACTGTTTCTAGCTTGTCTTATCAGAACAATGTAAAAGTCATAACATATTCTTTCAAGTGCGAATTCATATTGATATAAAATAAAATACTAACCCTTTGCCGAGAAGGAGGGCGAGTACAAGGGGGAAGGATAAAAATACCGAGGCGATTCTTGGGAAGACGCCACGATGGTGGATACCTTAACCAGTTGGGGGTTCCAATGCACATATTTCTGAGTGACGCCACCAGACGACATGATGCGCGCCAATGATTGCTCCGTCGGAGGCTGCAATCCCGATTCCTTCGTTAAATTCGTTGCGCTTCCATCTCCATATTGTGCTTGACCAGACTCTTCTGGAACAGAACTGCTTTTTTGGGGCTCTTGAACCTTGGATTGGACGTTGTGTTCGGTTTCCTGATTCGACTGTTCCATTCTCCTTCAGATCAGCGAGGGAAAACGGTGGCGCGTAAAGGTCGCTGATATGTAACGTATAACTAGTTTGAATTTGAAGGTTTCTTCGTTTTCGAGATAGAAACTGAGGAAAGCGTTTGCTTGTATGGGTGAGGTTAGAGAAAGAAGGAAGGGATAGTCATTGAACAAGAAATGCAGAAGATGCTTTTTTTTTTTTTTTTTTTTTTTTAAGCGCGAAGAAGATGGAGACTTTAACAATTTGCATGATTCTCAGCTGCTGACTCTGGCTCTGCATATTCCTTGCTTCGAGATTGGAGGGCTCCTTTGTAATTTCACCCTTTTTAATGCAATGGGAAACTTGATCCTACCATCCTTATAGTTTTTTTATTAAGTCTTTTAAGTTTATTGCATTACATCAGTTAATCCTTTTTGTTTAAAATTGTTAACAAGTACAAATGGTGTTAAAAATTTCATTAAATAACCATGATGTGGCAGTCTGATGGGCCTTTTTTTTTTTTAATAAATGGCATCAGATGAAAAATATAAGCTACATATATGAAAAGCAATTTTCTAAGAAAATGGCCCTCGTTTACAGCTATTCTCTTTTAATCGCTAGGGTTTGTGCACGCAGAGCACTTAAGAGAGGAGGAGAAGGGAGATGTGGCTTGGCAAAGTCATAGAGGGAGACATTGAGTTCACAAGGGTGGGTGCACACAATAGAGAAGAGAGAAGGAGGAGGAGGAAGAGGGAAGGTGGTTTGGGAGAGCCGCAGAGGGAGATGTTGAGTTCTCCAATGTTCAAGTACATAAAAAAGAGAGGTAAAGAAGAGAGGTGAAGAATGACAGATGATTTGATAGAAATGCTATCACGAAGGAGTTAGCTAACAACAAAAGCTCTTGTAGTGACCCTTTTGTTGAGCGTGCTATTGAGTTTCATAGTAATGAAACTAAATCTTACCATTGGGATTATACCTTCCCTCGACATCTTTGTCGACCTTCTGGGTTTTTTCTTCATCAAAACTTAAACCAAGTTCTTGAATAAATTTGGCATTTTAAGGTAGCTGTTTACGAGATAGGAGAATAATGTCACTCAAATTTGTGTCGTCGCTTCCTATAGCATAGCCTTTAGTAGTGATTGATTCTATGGATGATGGGTTGTTATTTAACCCTATAACTGAGATGCTTAATAATTTGAAGAATTAGAGACAACTAGGGCACCCTTTCATATGATCTGACACCGCCATTTACTATATAGAGCATCGGTCGGTTTTGAAGAGTGAACTGGTTTTAAAGACTCATATGGTTTGGTTGCTACATATGCTTTTGTAACTTGGTAAGAATTGAAAAACTAAGCTTCTGTCTTGCTGCTATTGTTCAAGACTTTAGGACTATTAGTTTGAACATTTGAAAGTTTTATTTAATCTCTTTTGGAATGTAATTTAAGTAGGTTGAAGTCATAGTGTTTAGAATGCAATGTAGTATATAGCAAACTATTTCTACTACATATTTTGAAGTGCATAGCAAATTGTTTTTAGCACCACTTTGAATTGTAAACTCCTCTCTTGCAACTTCTTGTAAAGTGCATGTAAACCACTATTTTTAAGAATTAATGTAAAAAATTGATATTGAATAATTAAAAAGATATGTCATTGTACTATTTTAGATTCTTATAGTGAAATGTACTATTATATTGAGTGGACAAAAGTTGTTATTATCATGTTCTCTCCATCATAGGACAAATATTGCCATGTTACAAGAATTTTCATGTTTGCTTGCATACATTTAATTTGATACATTAATTCATAACAGTTTGATCTTAATCGCTACAAAAGTTGCAGAATAAGTTGATTGTGAATCTTGTTATTGTCATTATTAGATATATAAAAAATAGAAAGAGCATAAATAGGTGACAAAAATAGGAACCATAAAGCTTTAATTAATTGCCAAAAACAAGGAAAGTTTTGTCCAAGTTAACACATCATAAAAGATTGGAGTTAACTACCAATACATAATATCATTTCTCAATTTCTAAATCCAAACACATAAAAAATTGCAAAATATCATATTCTAAACCATTGAACATCAATGTCATCTACTACATCCTGTATCTCATTTGATTGATTAGTTGTGGGCAAGTCTTTCGGTTGTGGTTGGAATTTCCACAAATCTTACACTTAACACTTATATAGGATCTTTTAAACTTGTTTGGAGGTGAAGGTTCATTTTGCTCTCTTCTTCATTTCTTTTTTGGTCTACCTGGACGCTTGTGATATATTGGGGAATTGATTGGTTCCAAGCTTGTGTGCTCTCATAACTCTTTTCCATTGATAAGCAAGATCATAGGAGCACAACATTCCACATAAGTTTCGAGACTTAGTGTTGAATTCACATAATCAATGGGGTTTAGTCAGTTAGCATAAATGCAACTACTAGTATGCCTAAAATATAAAGAATAAAAATATTATTTATAACTATTGGATAATGAAACTTTGAAAGTGAGTTATAAACAAACCTGTAGGGTATTCTAGTTAGTTGCCACCATTAGCAAGCACACGACTTGGAACAAAAATCAACAATAAACCTTTAAGAGTTATATGGCACTTTAAATTGATCATTATTAGCCCTCCTTGGTTCCCACTTCCTAGATTCTTCCATCTCTTTATGAAGCCTCTTATGAGGTCAAGGGCACATAAATCCTTTACCATAATATCTTCTACTTTTACTCAAGTTTGATGAAATCTGTCCGTCAAGTAAGTTTGAATTCAATCAAGAAGATTAATAATTGGACGTTGTCTTGCCTCTAATAATCTAGTGTTACAAAACTCTGAGTTATTCATAATCATATCAAACTTACAATAATCATCAAAGTATGCCTTGGTCTAACAAGATAAAGGAAAAGTCATTAAGTGATCATATACATTTTTTGAAACTTTTTTCAACTCATTCATTATCCCTTTCCATCCCGATGGTAAGTTGCCTTTATTGCACAAATCACTAAGTCTCACCAAAGTTCCTCCATCATACCTTGCCTTTATATTAGCATACAAGTGTCTTACACAATAACGATGTTCAACACCTTCAAGCAACTCTCTAAATGTTTGAACAAAACCTTACACATTAAAACTAATAACTATTATATGAACAAATAAATAGAAATATGATAATTAAAGTGATTTAAATCTTAAATTTTTTTATTGGTTTGAAATAAATACCTATCTTTTTAAGGTCATTGTGCTAATGTCATCAAGCAAATTTTTCAAGAACCATGTCTAAGAATCCATATTTTCTGTCTCTACCACTACGACAGCTGAAGGGAAATATTGCTCACTAGGGTTACGAGCTATAGCCACTAACAATATACCGCCATGTGAGCCTTTGAGAAAACACATATCTAATCCAATAATTGGCCTACATGCTACCTTGAATCCCCTTTTCACTAGTTCCAAGCACATATACAGTCTTCTAAATACTCGCAAATGATCTACATATAGCTTATCATTGACAAGACAAAATGTGAACCTTGGCTTTTTAAACTTGACTTCCAAACAATAGTCCTTCAAGTAAATATATTCTTCTTTATGATCCTCCTTAATCATTCCCTTGTAATTTTTTTAGCCCAAAATGCTTTGTTAATTGAGGGTTAAGCCATGTAATCTTTTCTTATGATTGCTTACACATTTAATAACTTGATATCTTTGTTAATCTTAACATTATCAACTATTTTTTCAACAATCCACTCTAATAAATTTTTCTTTGTGTTGATTGTTATTCTACATGCATGCCTTTAATTTGATGTCTTCAACCGATAAGTCGATGAGTCACTTTATTTGCTTACAAACATTAGCTAACCACATCTACTAGTAAATTTCACTCGACATCTCTCTTTACCATTTTTTATATAGTCAAATACATAAACATTCAATAAAGAGTACCCCTTTAAAGCATCCCTAAATGGTTTAGTTGAAGTAAACTCCATCCCAAAACTAAATTTAAAGTCCTTACACATCTCCTTTGAATTGTACTTGTAGTATCTTGTTATCGACTTATCTTCACTTTCATCAATTGCATAGTCTTCATATAGCTCATCATCTTCTAATTTTAATAATAAATAATCAATGTTCTCATCCAACACTCTAGAAGAAGGAACAATTTCTAAATCTTCATGTTGGTAGTCTAACACATTTGAGTAGTTCCTACTACATTGTGCCATATCCTCCACAATGTCAATACCAATAAATTCATTGAAGTAATCATCACCCAAATTTGCTTCATCACTATTATCTAAGTATTCTAGCATTGCATCGCCACTAACTCCTTCTATATTTTCTTCATGCTCCATTATATACCTAAAATTTAATAAATTAATTAATCTACATATTTGATGATCACGCTGAATCACACAAACATTTTTGTGGATAATATATTGATTTTCAAAGGATACGTGAAGAGGCTGATTAAATTACCTTACACTAAAGAATCATGAAAAACACTTAGTTTAATATTCTTTTTTGATATTGCTTGTACTAAAAGCCTCCCTTATCCTACATTTAGATTCAATCAGGGAAGCTATATAAATGATGGAGAAAACTACCTAAGATAAAAAAAAATTCAATTTCATGTGTTACAAAGTCAAAGATGTCCCAGAAAGTCTTTGGCTCAAGGCCCACCACTTTTATATCTATAAAAAAATTCCTTCCTATAATTTAACATTCTTTTAATCCAATTTCAAGGCTGTAGCTTCGTTCAATTATCAATTTTCTCATTGGAAAAAAATCTCGCATAATCCTATTTCCACTAAAACATTAACCTTAGTAGATAAAAAAAAAAAGATTAAGAGTAATGTAGCACAAGCATGGTATCTTGACTAACCTAAAGGGAGAGAGGAAGATGAAATAGAGAAGATGATAACTCTCTTGACTAACCTTATAGAGCTCAATGATGATGATTTTGCCTCCTTTCTTGTGTCGGTATTGAAAATCAATGGAACATAAGAGATAATGCCAACCATAAATGTGAAGCTTTTTGGTTACAATTCTATACATCTTTAATCTATAAGCCAAACAAGTTTCTTATTTCATTTTTTTTTTAATTTTTGGTGCTTAGTCAGATTTGATGGGAACAAAATCCCTACTAGATTGCCATGTAATTGTTATTTAACAAAATTTCTAACACCATTAGTACTTATTAATAGTTTTAAACAAAAAGAACTA